ATTCTGCTTATAGATGAAAAGGAGAGACTGATGATAAGTTCTAAGGGTACGGCCACAGCGCACGTAGATTCAGAATCAGATTCAGATTCAGTAAACAAGCGCGGGAAATAAACAGTGTAGTTTAAGCAGGTTACCTGCTGCCACTATGGCCACCCTTCTTAAACTACTCTGTTTATTTCTCGCGCTTGTTTTCTGAGTCTGCGTGCACTGTGGCCGTACCCTTGGCCGTAACCTTAACTTAAATTTGACAACAGTCTTTTCTCCTTAAAGATGAAAAGGAGAGACTGATGATAAGTTCTAAGGGTACAGCCACAGTGCACGCAGGTTAAGACTCAGAAGTTTAGGGTACGGCCAGAGTGCACTCAGATTCAGAGTCAGATTCCGAAAACAAGTGTCTGAATCTGAATCTGAGTTTTCTGAGTCTGAGAAATCTGAATCTGAGTACTGAGTACCCTTAGGGTGCGGCCAGAGTGCACTCAGATTCAGATTTCGAAAACAAGCGCGAGAAATAAACAGTGTAGTCTAAGCAGGTTGCTTGCTTTTTCTCGCGCTTTGTTTTCTGAGTCTGAATCTAAATCTGAATCAGGAGTGCAATCTGGCCGTAACCTTCGACTACACTGTTTATTTCTCGCGCTTGTTTTCAGAATCTGAATCTGACTCTGAATCTGAGTGCACTCTGGCCGCACCCTTAGAGACTAATGTGTCTCTTTCATTCCGATTTCCTATTCCGGTAGGAATGAACGTCGGTGAAAGGCCCGCGAATCTCTGTAATCTATGCTGTGCTCACAGACCACTATGAGAACAAGTGCTGTGCTCTGCTCTTATTAGTCTGTGGTGTATTGAATTTCAAGATTTTTAATCCAAAGTTGCAAGTGATTCATTAATTACAACTTAATTCTGCTATGTGTTTTGGTTTTAGATAGAAAACGTTGATGCAAGAAGTTTCAGGTGTGTACATTTTTATGACTACTTGAAATAAATTAAAATAAGCCTGAAATCCGCTTTTCCGCTTCTTTTGTATTGGTACTTGGATGGTAGATTTTAATAATAAATTGTAATTAGAAAAACTGTTTGGCATTTTTAAAAAGCTTTTTTAATTAAATATGATTTAATTCATAACAAATGGAACGAACTTTTTTCCCCAAATATGATATTACCTATAGGTATAATACTCCTCAGGCAAGACGTATCATACGAGTACAAACTTGGTAGGGTTACGGCGTCTCATTACAGAGTTTCTATGACCACCTTCCAGCTTTATGATGAGATCAGCTCCATGCCATCATAATATGTATTGCATTGTCATGTGATATACGTATTTGTTCAAAAGTTTAAGCTTAGAAGGGAACTGGGAAGTGTCGAATATAACTTCGAATATTTCATAACAGGCATATAACCAACAGGGGAAAGAAAGTAAAAGCTTGTAAAAATCGTAATATCGGTGCATGCTGTCATCTAACTTCCAAATACCAGACAAAATTTGAAACCCTGTACATTTGAGTTTTAAGTTTTTTCCCAATAATGATTTGAGTATATTTTTTATTAATACACTTATTAACTGATGAAAATTGTTGAAAATAATACATAGCGTCAACTGTGGCAACAATACCATATTTTTGACATTTTAACATAAAAGGGACAATATACTCCGATAAGTTTGGCAAGTTTACCTATCATTACTTTCATCCACAACTCAAAAAATTGCTGTTGTATTTAATTGTTAATTGAATTAAAACATTTGCGAATGTGGTATTTACCATTAACTGTAAAAGATTCGGTAAAACTGTACTTCCAGAGCCCAAGAATTGACACTTCACTAGTTTTTGGTGAAAAAGTCACTGTTAATGAAGTCTCTATGCAAAGTCTCCACACCAGCACACTGATAGTTTTTGAGAAAAATAAAATATTGAAAATTACATTTTTTTTTGTTCTGTTCTTTCCATTCATTAAACGGAAAAGGCAAAGACGACAAAATGCGCCATACAGCCAAGACTAAAAGTTCTTTTCTTCAAGTCTTCATAGAGAATCATTTGAAATCCAAGTTTAAATATCTTCTATAGTACTCTTGATGTAATTATACAGTGACTAATAACATTGTGGGTTTTGGAGAAGTACAGGTAAGGAACGCGGGATGTTCTCGGCTGAATTGTAGATTTCAAATAAAATTTTCGGTGAATAAAATTTCTCTGAGCAAACCATGGCTTTCTGATTGTGTCATTAATATTATGATACCAAACACCTTTAGTTTGTAAAGTTTCATGCCAATGATCTAACCATGGCTTCTTTATTTTGTCTTTTAGAAATTGTACACAATCAGAATCAGGAATCTTTATGTTTTTCACAGGGACATTTTCAGCCATGTTAGTTATTTGACTGTGGACAAAGCAATGGTTATTAAAAAGAAAGCAATTGAGGCACTTAAATGTAGTTATATTATATTTAAGTGACTCAATTAATAAACTTTTATTTATTTATTTATTTATTCAATAAACATGCTGATTTACAGAACTAGTTCCAACGCATCAGCAGGTCACATTAATTCAATTTATAAATAAAATACAAATTAGACATTACAATAAATACAATAACATTAATTGAAAATAACACATCAGCAGGTCACATTAATTAAAATTATAAATAAAATATAAATTATACATTACAATAAAATAAAAAATTAAATTAATAAAAACAACAAAATTAATTGAAACTAACGCATCAGCAGGTCACATTCATTAATATTATAAATCAAAAACAAATTATACATAAGAATAAAATCAAAAATAAATACAATAAAATTAATTGAATTTAGTCCAATGTCAATATTTACTAACTAGGCATTTACAACCTTCTTTAATAATATGTTCGAAATGGTCGGCATATACATCTATTAGGTCGCACTGAGCGAGCACGCTGTCTATCAAGCGAAGTACGCGCGGGGTGGGTGCATGCGCAGCGTGTAAGGTCCGTGTGTCGGGCACGTTATAATCTTTGCCAGTGTATCTACTTGTTCATTTCCATAAACGCCTATATGTGATCGAGTCCAAAACAAAATGATGTCTTTTCCGTTTGTTGTTAGTTGACAATATTTTTCTCTGATCTCGTGTATAGTGTAATTGGATTTTGAAGAAAACGCTGGGTTTGATAAGGCTGGAAGTATACTCATGCTATCTGTTGTTATGATCCATTTACTATGGTTAGATTTTGAAATATATTCTAAAGCTGCTAATATAAATTACATTTCTAGTAAATCCATACTAATATTATAAATGGGAAAGTGTGTTTGTTTGTTTGTTTGTCTTCTCTTCACGCCTAAACCGCTGAACCGATTGTGATGAAATTTGGTATATGTATAGCTTGAACTTCTGAGACTGCTATAGGCTACTTTTTTTTAATTTATGTATTCGAATTTACATAATTTTCAACTAAATTAATCATTTTCATGGTTGGTCCCGATATAGATGGCGCTACTGTCACGAAGACAGATTAAATTTGAAATGTGGAAGTTGCTATCTTAACATAATACGAGATAGCACCACTCGTGTTCAATACCGAGTATTTTGTGGTAGTGTTTCGTCGCCATTCCTTTTATGTCCTTCTCTTCAGGGAACAACACTGGAGCTAGAGAGCAGTATCACCATGCTCGGTATGGAGATTCGCTGTGACTTAAATCCAAAGAATTACATCGAAAGTGTGATAAAAACAGCCTCACGCAAACTCGGAGTCCTGAACAAGGTGCGGCGTTTTTTCACGCCCGAGCAACTGTGCTTGTTGTATAAGACGCAGGTGCGGTCTTGCGTGGAATATTGCTCGCACCTCTGGGATGGCTCCGCTAAGTACTTGCTCGATGCTTTGGATAGGTTACAGCGGCGCGCGATCCGCATCATAGGCGATGAGGAGGTCACTAAACACCTTGAGCCTCTTCAATTACGCCGTGACGTGGCGTCACTAAGCGCGTTCTATCGTCTGTACCACGGCGAGTGTTCTGAGGAGTTATTCTCTCTTATCCCACCTTCTCCTTTCCTTCAGAGGACCACGCGCGCTGGCCTACGTTGTCACCGTCTAACTGTGGCCACAATTCCAACGCGTACAAAGAAATTTGGTGACTCATTTCTTTGTCGCATTATCCGTAAATGGAATGCTCTGCCAGCTCACGTGTTCCCTCCCTCTTACAATCTGGGATCCTTTAAAAGAGCGTGAAGAAGCAACATGCAGGCCGGCAGGGTGAGGATGGCTGGTGTGGCAGGTAAAACTGCTGTATCAGCTATCTTCACGTCTGGACTTCACCTTCACTTAACATCAGATGGGGTGGAGTCATTTGTCGGACCTATCTATAAAAAAAATATTTGTTTCTTAGGTTTTCACGCACATCACTCATTAAATAAAACTAGTTTTTACGGGTTAATGCACGAAAACTTTATTTATTTATTGACGTTTCGCAGCCTTTTCAGGTCTGCTGTTTCATTATTCTGACGATGCAGACCTGAAAAGGCTGCGAAACGTCAATAAATAAATAAAGTTTTTGTGCATTGACCCGTAAAAACTAGTTTTATTTAAAAAAAAAATATTTGCTTATGGTAAAGTTGCCACAGTTGACTGTACTTAAATGATATAACACACTTATTTTCATCAAGTCTGAGATAGTTGGGCTCAGATTTTTTTTTCTAGTTTGTATTCTTTATAATTACTATAAAAAATATAATAAAAGTGCTAATAACCAAGAAAGAAAATTAAAAATAAGACAGTCATGTGTTTCTCCAGATACACAGAAGTCCACGTTGGATTTACAATAAACTAATCCCTTCCAGTCATACCCTGACTCCCTCTTAATTGGGTAAAATCTATTAAAGTGGGTTTCTAATTTTGACTCTTTCTTTGATTCCACTCAAACTTAAAGCAAATTTCAATGCAACATAAGCAGATTGCCTAATACAATGTTTGAAATCAAAGAGATCACATACAGACCTAGAATGAAGTAGATAAAATATTTATAGTAGGGGAGCCCAAGATGCTAATTAGGGATTTTTTTTGTTTCATTAAGATCTGCAATCAGCAAACTTAATGTGTGAAGTAGTGTCTTTTCCTTAGTGTATTTGCCATTGGATATCTACTCCTACTACAATAACTAGTTGGTTTCTAGTATTACACAGCCTTTCAACCGTTTCTTTCTTTTTGTTTTTATTAGTTGGCAAGCTAGGTTATTTCGGTAATTAATAAGCCTCTAGTATGTCTCTGTACATTGTTGGATCTCTTTCCTTATGGTTCGTATTTGCAAATTGTCATTTAGCTTGTTATTTGTGACAAAACATGGGGGATCTGACATGGTTCTCAAGATAATGTTTTGGAATCGTTGTAATATGTTGATATTTAAGTCACTAGCACTTCCCCAGAGCTGAATGCCATACATGCAACCCGGCTTCAGAATGCTTTTATAAAGTTGCAATTTGTTGTCAATAGACATTATAGTATTGCATCCCATCAACCTGTACAGGTTTCTATATATGAGTTTGAGCTCATCTCTTTCTGTTTTTATATGGGTTTTAAATGTAAGTCGTCGATCCAAGTGCATGCCAAAGTACCTTACGGAATCATTATGTTTGAGTGCATTACTGCCAAGGCGAACTGGTGGGCAGTTGTCCCCTCTCAGTGTGAAGGTAATATGTACAGATTTTTCATCTCTAGCTTTTATCCGCCATTTGTTTAGCCAGGTATTTACTTCATCTAGTTCTTTCTGAAGCATTGCTGAAGCTAAAACTGGGCTGTCATTCTTTGCCAAAATGGCTGTAATGTCAGTGTAGGTGTCCATTGTAGTTAGTGGCACTTCCAGTAGATTCGTAGTATATATCTTGTAAAGTATGGAGCCAATGATTGATCCCTGGCGCACTCCCGCTTTTATCTCATAGAATGGCGATGTGAAATATGTTGAAGTAATACTTCTTGGACAATTGATTAGTAATGATTTAGTGATCTCTATGGATTTAAACTAAAATAGACAGACATTAGAATTTCATAAAAGAAGAAGATAGTTTTGTTTTATATACTTTTATCAATTTATTAATATTAATTTTATCTTCTATTACTATTTGATTCTTTTACAAACTTCCAAACTTCAAACTACAAGAAAGTCTGAGCTTCCACATAACAGAGAAACTGGGTATGACTGGGTGAATATTTTTGATTTTTACTCTTAATTGTCTCGCACGACATTTAATAATAAAGAAATGGAACTTCAGAATCAATTTCAAGAAAAAAAAATACTCCTCAATTCTCGTAAGTCTATGAAAGCCGATTTTCAGCCTTCTGTGGCCACATTTGAAACGCGACACATTTAATGCACTCATCTAATGCCTGTAAGCACGCACACCAAGGACACATTTGTAGCGGGTGCATTTAGTAACGAGACGAAAGCAAAAATGTAGCGTGTATATTGTGGCAAGGTTAATGTTGCGTGCATGTAACCTGTGGCTCCGGTGTGCGGCTTTTCTTAAAGACTAACGAAAGTATTTCATATTAGCACAGATTATTTATTTCAGGTCCAAAATGGATGATGAAATTGATATTGAAGAGCATGATGTACTGGACCATCCTGCCATCAAGAGCATATTTCCAGATCTTTCCATTATAAAGAAAGAAATTTCATCATATGAAGAACAAGGTAGATAATATTAACAATAGTTGAAGTAAATGGCTTAACAAAATATTTTTAAATTACTTTTGAATGTGAAATAATGTTGTACCAGGAGAACTGGTAGTACTGATACTGATCATTGCAACATATGTTCATCTCTTTGTTTTATATTAAAGTGAAACTTTATTTTAGACCTATATATTCTTTTTCAGAATTAAATAAAAAGTCTAATCCAGGAGTAACTTTGGCAAGCTCTCAAGCCACATTTGTAGAGGACAGTCAAAATGCTACTTGCTCAGATAGTGATAATAAAAATTCCGACAATGATGTTAATATTAGTGAAGAAATCCAACAACAAGCAAAATTATTTTTTGGAAAGAAAGAGACTATATTTAATAATAAAAACTCTAAAGATACAATAGCAGAAGCCAGTAAAAAAGCGTGTTGCTCAGATTCCGGTGGTATATCGTCTGAGGGTGAGCAAAAAAATACTGAAGAAATCTTCCAAAAATCAACAAAATTATCGTTTGTAAACGAAAATACTATATTACAAAGTAAAAACTCCCAACCTATAACAGAAGAAAGCAGTAAATTTGCAACTAGCTCAGATTCAGAAGATGTAGGATCTGAAGATGAGATAAAAAGTATTGAAGAAATCCAACAAACACATAGATTATCATTTGATGAAGAAAAACTTATATTTCGCAATAAAATCATTCTTGGTTCCAAACCTACATTGAAACCAAGTAATGAAGAAAATCATTTTGAACAAAATATTAAACCATATTTAGCCAACATTTATTTAGACGATATTGGTTCATATTTGGAGAAAAGTGGAAGATTTTGTGCAATTTGTTGCATATTGTTTCCTCATAAAGGAAATCTCGATACACATACAATTACTTGTCATGAAATGAGTAGCAAATCTAAATATACATCTAGTAAATCATTAAAGCCTGCCAATAAAAAGTCAATTCATAAGTGTGAAATATGCTCCCAAACTTTTACAATGTCATCGAACTTGATGAAACATATGAGAAATATTCATATGCAGAAGTCTCAAATAACCTTTAAGCCACCAACAGATAGAAAATTACGTCAGAAATCTAGATTAGCAGATTCATTTGTTCTTCATAAAAGTAAATCGCTTTCTAATAGTAAATGTTTTCACTGTAAAAAAATCTTTTCATCACAAAAAAATCTCATAGAACATATATATAAAGTGTTACAATCAACAAAAATTTCCCAGAAAACTCAATTAAAATTCATGACAAATAAAACTATTAAAAGAGCCATGACCACTACGAAGCAAAATGATAATTTGCCATATGAAAAGCAAAATACTGGGAATACTCAAGACACTAATTTACATTATAAGTGTTACTATTGTTCATTTTATTTTAATGAAAAAAAGGTTTTTATTAATCATTTGTCTAACAAACATAAAGATAGAGAGGTAACGACAACAAACAAAGTTAAATTTGATCCTAACTGCAGATTTTGTTTTGCTATAAGTAGTACCATTAATACATATAATGTTCATTTACAACAATATCATAAAGATATGGTTAATGAGACCTTTAAAATACAACCTAAACTCTATTTAACGAAAGTAGAATTAATTTTAGCTGGAAAACGAACTGGTACAGCAAAACTTCAAGATGGTATTCAGATAAATGATAGTAATCAAAGCCAACAAAGTGTTCAATGTTCTTCTAAAAGTAATGTTAATGCCCCTAATACTATTGCAGCTGATTCTTCATCTGATGTAGAGAAAATCCAAAGAAAGCGTAATGCAAGTGCAAGTCTGACTCGATATAAAAAGAAGTTAAAAGTAGATGAAGACGCCCACGAAAAGAGTATACACCAAGAAGCACTAAATCTAATAGATTCCCTGGTTTTAAAAGGAATACTATTCAAATGCAAACGGTGTGATATAAATTTCTTATCAAATAGGTGTGCAATGAATCATTCAGAGCATATGGAATTCTTGATTAATTGGAAATGCCATATTTGTCTCAAAATCTTTAAAAAACATGATGAAATATTCCATAAAAAACAACACAGTTTTTCTAATGAATTTGTTGTATATGAGTTAAGCGAATCAAAATTATCCAGAGTGTTGTATAAATGTCCAAAGTGTGCTATTCACTTTGATGACAATAAATATGCTTTTCATTACATGCATTGTGGTAAAATAGTAACAGAATCCATTTATTGTAATCCATGTGATATTTTATTAGAGAAAAGTGTAATGCAGGATCATGAATATGAACACAAATTCAATAATCAATCTTTATCTGATTTCACTATCATCACTTCTGATGTCATTGATAGCACTACAATAACAGTTACCAATAAAATAATTAAAAGAGAGATTAAATCTTTTCGTGAAAAACGCAAACCGTCAGTGAATAGCAATAAAAGTTTAGATACACTGAATATGAATTATTGCGTTACATGTAAATGTTTTATAAGTCATAATTATTTACGTACTGTACATAAAGAAGGTCGTTGTGCGCATATGAACAAACATGTCTGCAAACATTGTGGCTTAGTTGTGACTATGCAATCGATGAAGTCACACAGAAATATGCATAAATTAGACAAAGATTTGAAGTTACAGAATTTTAAGTTTTATGACGTAAGAAGCAATAAACGAATACTACCGCCTATACCAGAATATCCAAAATGTAAAAGTTGTGACGTGCGTTTTCTATCTAAAGCTGCTGTCATTAATCATGTGTGTCAAGATATAGACTTTTTAACTTGCCCTATTTGTAATATCAAACTTTGTGATGATACCTTTAAACTTCATGTATCTTTTCACCACTATTCTTTGAAACGCCGAAATGATAATGTTCTCAATAACAGGCGCAACACTAATAGGCGCATACTGAATGAAAATTCAATAATTAAAAGTGAATCCAAATCAAATTACTCGATCAATAGCTGTAAAGCTGAAGATACCTATGAAGAAAACGTGGTTGATATTTCTGTACAGGATTCAGGACGAAATGTTGTAGAAACAATGACACATAATCAGTTTGCTGGATCTAAACAGATTTATGATAATAAACCTGTTGTGGCATCCGGGATATCAAGTTCTAAAACAGACAATTATAAAATTATTTTAAATCCAGAACGAAAAACAGATTCAGAATTACATAATGTGGTCTATTCTTGTTCTTATTGTTATATGACGCTTATGACGTATGACCAAGCTGTTGAACATTGCCAAGATCATTACTATGGTATAGATTTTAGTAAAATCATTCACAAATGTACTGAATGCAAGATCAAATATGATCAGAGGTTAAACGATCATCATAAGTTGCATCGTATACGAGATTTGCAAAAAACCTTTACAGTTCTAAAGTTTGATGCTGTCTATTTTGCTGTAGATTATAAGATTTGGAGTGAAAACTTGTTTGGGATATTAGAACCAGAAACAAAGAAGACCATATTAAATAATTCTATGTATAAGTACGAAGGAAGAATGAAACTCCAAGTTATTCAAAAAGGAATGACGGACTTGACAGTTTACAAATGCAGTACATGTCGAATGTTTGTACAGCCACATGCTATATTAAGTCACATTGAAAATTCGTGTTTCAGACTAAGGAAACACATTTGCTCCTTTTGTGGTTTACCATTCGTATCACACGTGTTTTGCATGGCTCATGAAAAAATTCACCAATATACTCCTAATCTTACAGTTGATTCGTTCAACATTGTGGTTTTTAACCGGGATAAAGATAAAGAATACAATAAGAAAATCATCAATAGTAGAAATTATTTCATTTTATATCAGTGTCGGAAATGTAAAGGCTTGTTTGAAAGATTTCAATCTCGTGATCATCACTGCAACAATCAAAACTTGAAACAATGTAATAGGTGTGGCTTTCTTATTTACAATTCAGAATTAAAGTCGCATATTGTAAAACATGATTTATTAAACAGCTTTTTTCATAATAATATGAAAGTTATTCGTTTTGGTAAATCTGATGAATTAAACACTGTGTCTAGCGGTTTGCCATTAAAATTTAATGGAATTGTTAAAGATTATCACTTTTATAGATGTATGAAATGTGATTTACACTTTAAAAAGTCCCAAACGATATCAGAACATAACTGCGTAGACACAAATTCCAAAGTTACTTGTTTTAAATGTAACCTCACTATTTTGAAAAAAGACATTAATCAACACTATAAGATACATGATAACGATCCATATTTTGTAAAAGAAAACTTTGACGTGCTTCCATATAAAGGATCATATATGAAATGTCCAGATTCACCCTTGGAGGGAGCTAAATTAAATGAAGATGTGTGTTTTATAAAGGCTGATGAAATTGAGAAAAAAATATCAGCTAACAAAGAAACGAATGCAAATAGTAATGAGGGCTTAATAAAGGCTGATGATAGTGCAAAAAAAATATCAGCTAACAAAGAAAAGAATGCAATAAGTAATGTGTTCTTAATAAAAGCTGATGAAAATGAGAAAATAATATCAGCTAACAAAGAAATGAATGAAATTAGTGATGTGTGCCTTATAAAGGTTGATGATAGTGAGCAAAAAATATCAACTAACAAAGAAAAGAATACAACCAGTAATATTTCAAGTGTCAAACTTGCTAAGATATATAAGTGTGATTGTGGTCAACATTTCTTGGATAAGGTAAGTATTAATTCGCATTTTGGACACTGCAAGTCAAAAATTCTCAAGCAAACTTGTTCAAAGTGTTCCCTTTTATTCTCATCAAAACATTTATTTGCTCATTTATTAAAACATCACGGAGATAAAAAATATTCATATAGATTTGATATTATTCCAATGAATAAAAATAAGAGTAAAGTAATAGAAATTTATAATTGTTCGTTTTGTAATTTACATTTTGTAGAATTTCCAAAAGCTAAAGAACACTTATCAATCTTTTCAATTTGTCCGACTGCAGGAAGTGAATGTAGTAATTGCAAACTATTTTTTGACGATTCTTCTCTTAAATTTCATGAAAGTCGTCATCATGGTGATGATATTGCCGATTTTGATATAATCGATTTAAAACCTACCTCTGTCGACTCTGATAATGTCGAAAACGCTTCACTAGATAAAGATATCCCAAACTTGACATCGCAGCCAGATGTTGTTACCGAATCAAATTATAATATTTCGGGAGAAAAATCACAAGTAAGCCTTGATTGCTATAGTAATAATATTTTTAAATGTAATGATTGCAATTTACACTTTTTGACTGAGTACTCGTTTAAGAATCATATTAATATGAAAAAACACGCAGCTTCCACTTCCAAACAAAAGGAATGTGAACAATGCGGTTTAAATTTTTGTTTGCCTTCGTTGGCTAAACATGTATATGTCCACCACAACCAAATGAAACTTGAATTATCAAAAATGATTATAAAATCTGCTAGTGATGATTCTTATGTTTGTAGTGCTTAGTTAATAAAATTTTATTTTCTTTATCATAAGAATATGGTTGTATGTAACATGTTTTTAGGTTTAGTTAAGTACTAGTTATTTCATTGTGTTAGCTACTCGTTATCTGTTTCGTGTTATTTAGTTATCTAATAAACGGGAACTACACAAATATAAGTCATTCTTTATTATTAAGTCTTAAAAAGTTGTAAGTTATAGAAAATATCGAGCCCTTACCGCCAAATTATCGTAAGCGACACTCGCCAAATTATCGTAAGCGACACTTGTCAAAATGCGTTTTTTGTGGAAACTAATATTTTAAACCGTAATGGACCCATCTCTGTTGATATTTCCCTCTATTCTTCCCTCTATTATATTATAACGGTGTTCTTTTGGAGGGAAATATCAACAGAGATGGGTCCGTTACGGTTTAAAATATTAGTTTCCACAAAAAACGCATTTCGACAAAAGTGTCGCTTACGATAATTTAGCGGTAAGGGCTCGATATATTCATACCTATTAATTGAATTTATTTGTTATATAAGTACGAAAGTGTTAATGCGCATTTATTTTCCTATTTTAATCCATACCAAAATTAGTAAGACTAATAACTAATATTATAAATGCATAAAAGTTTGTTTGTCTTTCTGTCCGTTACCTCTTCGCGTTTAAATCGCTGAACTGATTGAGGTGAAATTTGGTACAGAGACAGTTTGAGTCCCAGGTAGGGTTCATGATTTCTCGAGCTTTTCAATTTCTCGGATCTCAAGAATTTTCGAGGCTAATTTCTCTAGGCTTCTCGGGTTATCGAGAAATTTACATTTACATACGTTTTCTTATATTATTTAGTTCCAATAACGTCAACAAATTCAGTGGTTTTCCTCTCAAATAAAAGTATCCAATTATTTATAAAACTTTAATTGATAACTAACTAACTTTAAAAAAAAATACAGATATAATATTATTCAGACTAATAATTATAATGACAGCACCATATTTGGCTGGTTATTTAGAACTTATAAACAAAATTTGTTTTAACTAAAAATAAAACTGACTTCAAAATCGAAAATGGAACTAAAAAGTACAAAATAATATCTGGTTTTAATTTTTGTTTAAAATTTTTTATTAATCCATTTTTGTGAAAATTATATCGTCCAAGTAAACAATAACACAATTGACGGAGAAATCGGTGAACATGAATAAAAAAACATCGTGTGTGCCTTTGAAATTTGAAGGTTTCCTTCGATTTCCCCGATTTCCACTATCAGATCCTGTCTTGGTTCCAATGGGACTACATCGGAAGTGCACATTTTCGAATAAAAAAAGAATTTTGGAAATCGGTCCACAATTGACGGAGTAATCGGTGAACATAGGTACATTAAAAAATAGTTATATATATACAGTCGAACACAGAACCTCCTCATTTTTTGAAGTCGGTTAAAAAGCTATATATCTATTAAACTAAACAAAAAATCAACATGAAAGAAAACGTTAATATCTTAACTTATAATTAAATTAAATCACAGCACCATTTTTGCCTGGTTAATTAGAAAAAAATTAACTAAACACAAAAATAGCGTCTATAAACAAAAAAAAAAAATACATGAAAGAAAACGTTATTATCTGAAATTCAGGTAAAAAATAAATGTAAATTATAATTAATAGTTGCGTGGCGCGCTTTGCCCCGCGTCGCCACGCAACACAACAAACGGCCATTTGATTTCTGTATAGGTACATGATTTCTCGAGTTCTCAACTTTTCTCGAGCTTGATTTCCCGGGAACAGAGCCTAACGATTTCCCAGGAATTCCCGGCTCGAGAATTCCCGGGAATGAACCCTAGTCCCAGGGAAGGACATAGGATAGCTAAGATAGAAATTATTCTTGAAGGAGAAGAAAAATCCACTCTGATTGAAGTTTGTATGAGAAACCAATTTTTTCCCCGTAGGCTAGTTATCAGGCATCCACATAAAATAAAACAATAGTATTGTCCCAAGTCCCATAGAAAACAAACCCAGGCCTTTTGCAAAAGCTTTGTTGATTTGTACAACATACTTATAAATGGATGATTTTAGTGTTACTATGCTAAAAAGAGATAAATTTAAAAAATCAAAAAACCCGACTTCTTAATAATTCTTCAAATAAAAACTGAAAAGAAAAAAACAAGTCCAGTAGTCTATAATTGTGTTAATAAGGAACAAAGCTACTTTAACAGTCGGGACCCATTAGATATTCAAGAATACATAATATTTTTCAGTAATTTTGTTCCTTATTAACAGAATTATAGACTACTGGACTTGTTTTTTTCTTTTCAGTTTTTATTTGAAGTATTATTCAGCAATCGGCTTTTTTCATTTTTTAAATTTACCTCTTTTATTTCACACTTTTTAGTTAGTATTTTAAGACGGTATATACCGTAGTCTTGTTACTTCAGTAAGGGAATTAATATCGCGGGAATTATTAAGTACCCTTCGGTGGTCTAAACGTTTGAAAATGTAAGACTCAGTATCGAACAACATACATCTTTTCTCGCATTCGTACGCCTTTTTTGTGATATACAAAGATACAAATGAATGCTACAAAAGGGAGCGTCCGGTCATTAACAAAGCAAAAATTTAAGCAAAGGAATATAGCGATCAGCTAATACATATGTTAGAGCAGCTTCGTAAGCCCTGAAAAAATTAAAGGCGTGATTCAAATAATGTTATTTGATCCATTTTTAGCTTACTCGTTTCTTTATACAGTTTCATATAATCTGATAAATGTGAATATTTAAAATCATAAATTGTCACATTGGCGTATATATCTATGTACGTGGCGATCACCAGGCGATAACAAACAGGTCTCAATATAAAGCTTTCAGTGACGGTCAAGTAGTTTAATAGCAGCATTTTACCTGTAATAAAATGCATATTTAAATACTTACCTCACTGAAAGCTTTCACTTTAAATTCTGGTGAAATAATTGAGCCAATGAGTTAATATGGCGCTGTCAAAACTTAGGAAAACAAAAATGGCCGCGCTTCTACCAGGTGTCGCCACTGGACCGGATACAAGGTGAATAAAAGTACGGAAACTGATGGTAATTCGACGGGAAACGAAAGTGCTATCTCAATATAAAGCTTTCAGTGAGGTAAGTATTTTAATATGCACTGTATTTCAGGTAAAATACTGCTATTCATTAACTTTTATTCGTCGACTATTTAAAATTGGCAGTGGCTGCATTGTCATGTCAACGTCCGGCTCTAAGATTGTGATATACACAAAAGCAGTGTCTTATTCTAGTCTCATAATTTGATATAACTACATAATTCACAGAAACCAAATATGTAGATGCCAGAAGTTAACTTCAAATGTTGTTAATCACCCTATATACAATGGTGTCGATTCTAGCATGATTCTCTAAACCTAAACTTAAATTTGACAGCAGTATATCCTTGTCATTCTCTATACAGAATGAAAAGGAGAGACTGATGTTAAATTTAGTTTTAAGTTTAGAGAATCACGCCAGAATTGGTACCAATACCAATCAATGACGTTTATGTCGCAGGTTGAAGAAAGCAGTAATTCCCGTCTGTTGTTTTGGACAATGGTGGCAACTGCCTTAGATCGCTAAATTAAATAATTATGACATCACCAAAGCAAAGTTTATAATATTTGATTAAACTAAAGGTGCATAATATTTTTTTCATAACGTTAGGTAGAGCACCATAGCAATCTCATTTATTATCAATTTGTAGCTTACTTTTAAAGCGTTTACCAGTAACAGGTCAAAGACTTTGTGATCGACCCTTTTTTATTGTTAGCGTAAAGCTCTAATGAAGAGTTCTTCCATCTATCAAGCGTGCTGCTACCAGCCTTGTAGGTATTGCAAATAGTGCAATCATGGCAATTATTTTCCAAATATTTATTTTCTATAAAAAAAATACCGAATAACGTATCACTGTTAAGCACAAATGCTAAGTAACTTTTACAAATATAATCAAATAAACCTATTACTTACTTTATTTTTAAATCTTATTCATAAATTAAATACTATTATCCTAACTATCTACGAGTATAGTAATATTATAAAGAGGCAAGATTTGTATGTTTGTAACAAAGAATCTGTCAAACTGGTTTTAAATATTAATTCATCATAAGGTAGCTACATTATTTATTATTACATTTCTCTTTTTTAAATACATTTTGTCCGAGTGACATAGGCTATATTTTATCCCGATTAAGAAAATTCGCCCGTACAATGCCCGGGTGGATCACTAGTAAGTATAATATATTATTATAGATGCGAAAGTGAGTTTGTTTTGTGCGCTTTCGTGCCCTAATAGCTAAATCGATTATAATGAATTCCCCTGTAGAAGTAGATGGGAACTTGGTTCTTAGCTACAACATCGCAATACTTATATGCGTAGGGTGATTTACCTATAAAACTGTATATTATTTACTTTGAATTTTGCAGAATTATCGTTTATAATTACAAAACTAATATTATCGCTAGCTGATTAATAAAAACAGGGATTCCAATAAGTATGTACCTACTAGGGAAAAATGGGTTATTTGTCATTATATTAAGTAACCCTTTATTTGTAACATTAAGTAAAATCGTTAGTTAAAATAATTCTGAGTTTTTCATTAAAATTCAATAATCATAAATACCTATTATGATAATTTATTTTTCATCATTAAATAGGAAGGAACTGTATCACAGTTTTATTGTAAGTACTTCGTACAGGATCAGATACTGCGAGTAGCCCATATTTTTTCTTTTTCGCCTAGGTTTTATCTAGGTTTATAAACACCTAAATTAAATTTCTTCTCTTATTATTCTACTTCTACATAGTACACCGCGCTATCACTTTGTCATCGTTGTAACTTTATAAATCTTTGTCGAAATGACATAGTGTCAAGAGCAAAGTTTATTGTCTTTAAATATAAAAAGCGATAAAAGTATTTCTTTGGATAAAAAATAATTTGTTAATACAAAATGTGCATTTTGGAAATAGATATCAAATAATATTTTAGTTTTGATTCACTATTTTAGCGGTAATAGCTTACACAAAATAGATATATGGTGTCACGGGCTTTTTTGTAGAACTATTTAAGAGATACATTTTTTCTCTACATTACATTCATGTAACTTTTATTGTTTTTGCAGTGCAGGCCAAAATGGCTTGCAGATGGGAGTTTTTTTTCGTCTTATGTGACACTTATTGTTATATTTTGGCCAATTCACTCAATAACTACATAAATTATTATATATATGTTATTATCATATATGATAGCTCATATTACTGTTAAGTTT